AAAAAAAAAAAAAAAAATTAATGTTCGCGAAAATAAATTGCTTTTTTTTTTTCTACAGAGGTAGCAATAAAAATCATCCATTTTCAGATTATTATTTTTATTGCAGCTATATTTTCAACATTTAAAAAATCATTCGATTTGTTCGATTCCATCGATACCATTTAAGTGGAAGAATGACATAAAAAGAAGCAGGTTAATGACATTTTTTTATGTTGCGGTATTGTTCATTAGTTATCATTGACATCAGACAGCGTGTTACTATATACCTTWTCAGGAATAACGGAACTAAGCAATCAGAATTAATTACAACGGAAGAGCGTGTATCGCTTACGACGTCGTTCCCCGAACAATTTCCATTTTTATGCGCTACCGTAAACGGCTATTTGATCTCCTTTTCACCTGAACATGTTTCCTCATCAAACGAGCTCGACTTCCCGATGACTTCTCGTTGAGTTCATGGTAATAGCATTGTCTTAGCATAAAATATATTGTTACTGTTGTTGCTCTTGCTGCTGTTTTGTTTATCCGTCATTGCTTTGATTGTTTTTAGGAGGCGTACTGTTGTCAATTTCTTTGTCACTAAAAGTTCCATTCAAAATATAGTACTAAATTAATAATCAAGAAATGAAGTACAGTGATCTGGGGTTTCTGGCCGGCTAAGCTTACCTTGGTAAAAAGGGTGCGATGATGGCAATGCGTGAATACAGTTAGGTGTTGTTCCTAACGATGCAATGGTTGGAGCAACTAAAAGTAAAGGAAACAAAAGCACAAACAATTCAGAGAAATGGGAATAATTGGTGCTTTTCTTGATGGATGTCTTAAGTTCCCACTCGAGAGAAAGATAAAAGTTTTTTGCAATGTTCTCGAAGTAAGGTAAAATAGGGTGGTGAAGGGAAAAAGAAGAATAYTTCCTTTTTCCTCTGCCTTATTATCCACAAACACATAAAAGAAATAAATGTGATGTGAAATGGCGCACTGTTGTGTAGAAAATCTGCMAAATTTTAAAACATGATCTTTAGTAAATATTGTATTGATGATTGTTCAAAAAGATATTTGACAAATCCACTTTTATTTTGCTTGACATTTCGTACATCTCATACTTATCACTAACATTGGTTAGTAGTGCCAGAATGCTACTACCATGCATTACGCGTAGCTTACATACTATTCTTTACAAGATAAGTAAAATCACACGAATAGCCCAATTCATTATATCTTCTTTTTTGATACCGCGTTTCAAAGTAACTGTAACACCGTTGTCGGTTGCTGTTTTTGCTGTTGGAAGGTCTGAAATAGCAAATAGTATGGTATGAATTTTATATTATTTCGAAATGGATAAAGTAAGAATACCGTTAGCTCCATCAGATCCGTGACTACTTGCTAAAAGGAACACTAATATTGAATTCAAATGACCTTTACTTTTACTTAGTATTCGCAATTAATGGAAATCCAGTTTAATTTTTATTATTGATATGTAGAGGGSGTTTGTGTCTTTTTCTTACCTACTAATACAAATCATTAACAAATATCTTACGTATTCGGGTAATGTTGAGGTAACCCACATTCCAGCCCTCTTCATTTGTTGCGTTACACCTGTACATTCCATATAAACCAGAGTTGCTATCTGGTATTTTGAGAACCATTCTGATGCCGCTTGTTATTTCTGTGACACCAGATTCAACTTGCGTTCCATCAGCATAATACCACTTGAATAAGGGGCGTGGTTGTCCACTTGCTTGGCAAAGTAGGATGGTCTTTTCGTCGACAGTCCAGTTTAGAAACGTTATATTAGGTATGTCTACGAAAAAGGAAATAACGAATGGAAAAAAAAAACACATAACTTTTGAAAAGCTATTTGTTCCATAGTTGAGGTGCAGGGCAGAATTGAAACACATATTATATTATTCGACAATCAAACACTTTGAATACTTACACCATACAGTGACTTGTGTTTTAGTCTTCACGGGATAATCATTTGGGTTGTTGGTTGCCTGGCACTGATACGTCCCATTTTGATGTCTTGTAATGTTCTGGATAACGAGGTCAGCGAAACCTACTCCTTGGCTTTTTATTTCCTTGGCTTGGTTTTTCAGTAACACCCAATTGATGTTTGGAGTTGGATTTCCAATTGCAGAACAACTAATACGCAGATCTCCTCCCTCAAGCACTATATTGTTTGCTTGAAATTGGCTGGTGAATTGTGGCCGCGCTGTTATGAACAAATTATTCACATACAATTAAGTGTATGTACACTAACTCTGTTTGTATTTATTTTTTGTTTATGATCCATTTATTATATAAGTAGCGGTATCTACAATGAAACACTTATAAGTTTAATTTGACTGCTAATGTGTTGTCAATTGATAATCAAACAATACATTTTATAAAATAAATCAAATAGTACGTACGCTGTGATTGGTTGATAGCTGTATTTGCATGAGGGTATGTAAACACAGTTGTGACGTCATACATTTCGTGTTTTCCCTTACTTGTAACAACAAGTTGAATTTCACTTGATATTAGCGGTAAAGCCTTCAATAATAAATTCATCTCGTATATTTCACTATCAGCAGTAGTGACATTAGAGATAACCAAGGTAGCATTGGACTCTCTACTGACTCGAGTGGTAGGGTATAAAAGTCTGGCAGGACACGTCTCATAACTGATTGTCCATCTCCAGTCTCTTAAGGCATGATCATATCCAATTACAACAGGTG